ATGTGTGTATATGTGTAAGTATATATATTCACACACACAATGAACTTACATGTGTGCACTATTTATACTTATCCAATAACACCAACCTATGCATGATCAGTACTATATTCTGTAAATGACTCTTATTGCCACACTGCATTGTGCTGTCACTTCGTCATCTCAATGAGTGCTTCAGCATTCGTAGTTCACCATCCATTACATTCTCCGCATATGCTGAACAGTTCTTTTCGAAACGCTGATCAAATCTGCCTTCTTTGAGGTAAGAAACCTTTGGCCCTGGATAACCATATACGCAAGCCCGTCCTCGCTTGACCAATGTCAAGATTTACATTCCACACAGTATCCGTGATTATCAGGACAATGCAATATCCTTCATATCTGATCTTGCCGTGCTTTCTCATACCTGTCATGCCGTGACTCATCATAGTAACGTCGTATGGTCTTACTTGAGATCTTTGGCATAGACTATAGAACTCTATTATCACATTTGCATCCTCCATTTTATACACCGTATTTAGATTATGTGGATTCTGGATATACATATTATCTCATGGTTTATAATCTTAGCTGACGCACGCGTAAGCGTCAAGTTAATAGCGCCTAGCGGTCGCACGTAACTAAAGCGTCAGACTTAGTGGTCGCAATTTTTTAATTAAGTTGCAATTTTAACGCGTCAGACTTGTGCGTCAGACATAGTGGCCGCAAAACCATATGTACTAAAGTCAGACTCAGTGCCAGGGCCGCAGTGACGCAGTCTTACCTGGTCTCCTCACTCTCCAGTCTCCTACCGACACTACTAGAGTTAATCCCTAATAGGAGTTAAAACTCTTCTGGGCGGAATGTTTCAGAGTAACTACATTCATAAATAAATATGTACATACAGACAATGATACATGTAATCATGAACACTAGTTATTATATATACAAAAAAAAAGAGATCTACTTATCTCAACAAGAAACTTGGTTGGATTCAGAAGGTTATGGTGTTCTTTTTTCAGAAGGCCATGTATGGTTTTTTGGATACAGCTTGTGAAAATAAACAAATAAACACTGATGAAGGAAGAGGCGGAACACTGTAGTTGTAAATAAATAAATAAAAAGATACACGTATAAATAAAGCAATTTTCGCACCTCAACTGCCAAGGGACACCTCATTATAAAAGCATCACCAGTGTGAAGATATGGCGGGTGTCAGTGCAGAGTTGATGGCCCAACTTGAGTCCATGGGATTTCCAGCAACTAGGTGCAAGAAAGCACTACATGCAACGGGCAATACAAACGCTGACGCCGCCACTCAATGGTTGTTCGATCACATAGATGATCCTGACATTGACCTCGAGGAAGATGGAGAGAATCGTATGGATAGGTAGGATAATAACGCGTTTTGCATTATATA